CTCTGGCTCGGCTGACGTTGTGTTGGTGGTCTACAAGGGCTGCCAGTGATAAAATTGACTTCCAAAAGAGACCCAAAGTATCGATCCCTTTGTCAGAAAGCTGCCAGGGGATAGAGGAGAGATGCCTGGCATGAGCATCACTGTCATGGGGCTTCAGCGCGTGTGACGGGCGGACTCGCTGCAAGGACCCCTCGGGGAGCACTCAGTCAGCAGGCAGCGAGGGCTCCGTAGCGTCTGATACTCGAGGAGCAGGCAATCTATCCTCAGAGGAAATCATGCACGTGTGATCCTCCTGAACAGCCCATTTCATGCAGACAAACTCAATGATGAACGCGGGATGTTTTCTTCTGGCAGCTGGGATGCCACCGTGACTGCCTGCGTGATGGATTTCTCCTCCTCTTCCCTTAGGAGTTGCCTTGGGATCCCAGCTACAGAGTCTGGGGGGGAATTTCTCTGGTGGTGTTTTTTAGTGATATCAATAAAAAAGAAGCAAAAGCTGTTGTTTCTTGGAAAATCGGCCCTCTCTTGTAGGGGATGTCCTACAAGATAACTGTCCTTATTAGGACAGTACAGGTGGAGATGCTGGATGAAGCTGTTCCAGGCTGCGCATCCAGCCTGCCTGTGGCCACCTGCTGCCCTGTTCCTTCTTTTTACAAAGTGGAACCATCTGGGGGAAAATAACCCCCTTTTGCTGCAACTTTATACAGCATGTAGTCCAAAGTGACTCCGGGCCATGACAAGACCGTACTGTGGTCCAAGCAGTAAACTTAAATTAAGGCATTTCCTCCTGCTCCATCACTGCCTTCTGTGGTTTCCCTGGTGAGGGTGCTGGCTCAGCCGGGCTCCCTTTTTGTGGAGAGAGGCACCAGGAAAGATGGATGTGCTCCTTTAAGGCAGGGCTCCATGTACCTCGGGCAGAGCATCACCATAACGTGATGCGGCAGTTGCTAAGGTAACAGCACCAACATATTTTTTCATGAATAGCAAAGCAAATTGTCATGGAACAGTAAAACCCACATACATTGCCAGGATATACGTTCCGTTGCCCCAGGGTTACAAGTATTTACAGGCTGTTTATTCTTTTTTTTCCCCATCTTGAAAAATGATCCTACATGTGCCCATGTGCTACTGATGTCCAGAAACATCTTGCCTGCCCCTGTCCTTGTGTGCTCACAACAGAGGCACCAAACTGATGCTGTGCATTCGGTTCGGTCAATGCATGGGAGGAGAATTCATCTGGGTCTTCCAAACCCCTCCTAGGTGTGAGTTTGCTCTTTGCTTCGCTCCTTGGCTGAACACATGCTCAAAAAGCGGCCCCGTAGTGCCTCCTGATTGTCCCCGGGAGGTTTTGCATTCAGACCCCAGGTGCAGAGCTGAGAGACCCCGATGAGCAGCAGCCGTGCCCATTCCCAGCTCTTGGACGAGGACAGCTCTGAAAGGAGACCTGGCAAAAGCAGTTGTTGAGCTCAGAGCCGTGATAACACCCCCAGGTCCCACATAGGCTCAGTCAGAAGGACCACGAGCAGGAACAGGGCTCCTGCCTCCCCCTGTTGATGTGAGGCTTCAGCAAAAGCCTTCCTGCATGCCCCACAGCCGCAGCCTGCTCACAGCACAGCTGCAAAGTGTGTGTCCGCACCGACACTAGAAAAGCTGCCTTGGTATCTGCCCATACCCTGAAGTGCTGTAAGCAACCTTGGGCCAACTTCAGCTGGTTTCAAGCAAATAGCATGGATTTACCTCCTTCTCTGAGGACCTGATATCTGGGCTGCTGATCTGAGGTCAGGCAAGGCCACATCCCATGTCTTTTCACTTTTTGTCTCAGCACCGGGGATTCAAAATGCACCCAAAGGGCAGAGGGGATAGGAAAGAAATGCCAGTTACACATACGTATCTGAAAAGATGGCTTGCTTTTTATCATTATTATTATTATTTTTTTATTTTCAGGAAACAACTCTCATTCTGTGCAGCTCTTCACCTTCCTGCTCAGAAGCGGGTAGAGGAGCAGACACTGCCAGACTTCAATCCATCCACCAATGCTTCAGGGAGACCAGGCGAGAACAGGTCAGAAAGCAGCAGTGTGCATCAGGAATGGTAAGAACCAGCCTTTTACATCAGAGACAAAAAACAATCTAGCAGCTGAGGAACCGGAGAAATCCAGGAGACAAAGAGTAGGAAGGGAAGTGGAAAAGAGCTCGGTGCTTGGTTGTACCGGGCACTTTCAGCTGCCAACGTAGCAGCAGGGAGGGTCTCGTGTGTCTGTGTGCGATCTGCCTCGGCCTGGGGGGCTTCCTAATTAAACTAATGACTATGATCTTCCTCAGCCCTACTCCTCCCATCTCGGCGAGGGGCTGACTCCTGTCCCCTCACTGCACCAGGTCTCAGATGGTCCCGAGGCAAAGCCTGCTGCTGGCTGCATTGCCCCAGGCAGGATCAGGCTGCTTGCAGTCCTGTAATTGGTCCTGAATTCCCTTTTCCTGGTGCAAACCGCATGCAGATATTTTGCCTTTGTGGCCTGGCGGTTTCCTGGAGCTTTTACAGGTGTAGCCAAAGTTTCCAGGTGGTTGCACAGCTAGTTCCCTTAGAAGCACTGCCTTTTCCTTTGTTTTCCTTTACAGTTGTATTTTTTCCTCATCAGACAATTCGGTCCAAAGCTCACAGTTGGAAATTTTGTTTCACTGCTTTTAAAGAGTAGAGCAATGCCTCTCCCGGCCTCTTCATTATTGAAATAATCCAAGGACTTGAGCGAGGAAGATAAAACCCCACGGCAGGCAAAGCAGGCTCTGAAGGGCACAATTTTCTGAGCCAGCTGGCCACAACTGCTGGGCATCACCTTCCTTCCCAGCACCATAAAGGGCTTTGTGTTTTCTTCTTTTGTACCTGACCCAATCTCATGGAAAGAAAACAAAATCCACATTAGCAGCCTTTGAAGGGCTCGTGAGCTTCCCTGCAGCCTCGAACCCACACGAGGACCAGCACTTGGTGACAACAGACTTGTCCTGCCATCCCAGCCGGACCAAACCTCTGGTGTTCTCAGGGTTTGTGACACCTGGAGAGAATCAGCACTTTCTGCCCTGGTTTTGTATCAACAGGCAGGGTCAAGGAGGATAATAGCTGGCGTCAGAGGCTCGGTGAGCTCGATTCATAGCGGGAAGATAACCTCGTGCAGCTTAGCAGCCAGCTCACTTCTGAAATAGCACTAAATTGTGCGTGCTTTCTTGAGGAGCCACTTGCTCTCTGAGAGGCTCCTCTAAAAGGTGGCAGTGGAGTCATTTTGCAGTTTGCCTCTTTCCATTTATTGGTGACACACAGATAACAGGCTGAGGACTTGATGGGGCTGGCAGGTGCGTGCCCCCCTGCAGCTCCGTGGTGTCCCTGGGTGCAGCCCCCAGTCGGATGCTGCTGCTCAGGGCTCTGCTTGCTCAGGTAATTCACAGCTCCTGCAAAGCAGCAAGAAACCTCATGAAAGAAGCCCAGATGAATCAAATAGGGAAAAAAAAAAAAAAAAAAAAAAAAAGGAAAAACAATGCACTCCTGAATTTCCAGAAGTGATATTGGCTCGCTGGGAGGGAAGTGCAGACAACAGCTTATGTTGCTAAAAAAACAAGTTTGCACTGTTTTGGGTTCAGCGTTTTAGCCAACTGCTAAGAACTTTAGAGTAAATCTCAGCATTTCCCAGGGCCCAGATTGCATATTGGACCATATACCCTGAAATGTTTTTATTTAATTTGAGTCCACATTATGCTGCCTACATATGGTGACACACACATTTCATTTTATGTAGCAGATGCTGCTTTGCTATTGAGAATGTAATATACTGAGTACATTATAGTATCATTTGGTTTAGGGTAACTGCAGTGTTTTTCAACTCTGATTAGCCTTAATTTTAAACCTGATTTCCTAAGGAAATGAAGCTTATGAGATCCTGCTCTGTATGCATGCTCGTGCATGCCCATCATCCATCCACTTGCCCATCATTCCCCTGCTTCTTTGGAGCTCGCAGGCCAATCTCAAAGCAGGACGGGAAAACCTGGTGAGCTCCCCCTAGCTCTGCACAAAATGACTTCACGTGGGGGATGAAGGTCACGATACAGGTTCACGAGTCCTGGGAAACGGAGCTGACACAGCGCTTTCCCCTGAATTGTAAGGACTTCTGAAAATTAGAGGGCTAAGGGTAATAAGGCCACTCTGCAATAGCATCCAGAAGGAGGTATCAGTCAGGCTGAACTGTGCAGCTCTGCGTGGAGACAAAAGCCCATCTCAATCTTCATTAGAAGCAGATTAAGTCTCCAAGCAATTTCCGCTTTGCTGACCTCCCTGCTGGACCCACGTGCCCTGAGTTTGAGCTGCAGAGACCGGATTCCCATTCTGGTGGTGATGGCATCGCATCAGGGCAGTCCCAGACACCAAGACAGGTGCTGTATGGCCACAGCTCTGGCTGGTCTGTTAATTGCATCCAACTCTTATTTGCAGATGTTTTCCTCACAATTAACACTTGGGTTTACTGAGAGCTTTTAATAGGCAGCAGGGCACAGCTGTGATCGAAACGAACTGCAGCGTGAAAATGCAATATTTTTAATGGAGCTGATGTAGGCAGTGTTTTGCAATTCTCTGGCACTTTTCAGCAAAATATCATGTTTAGCATGTTGAAATAGCACCCGTTTGCTGCACCTGCTGCAACAGAAGTGCTGCATGGCCCTGCATGCGTGAACTCTGTCTTGTTACAGCACAGGCTCCACCGAATGTGGCCATAAACAGCACTTAGTGATGCATAATATATGAAAATGGCTCATGCTGAGCTTTTAGATACAGAAGGATTATTATTATTTTTTTTTTACAATACTATTACAACATTCTCCTGCAGCCATGGAAGCAGTGTCATAAATATTTAAAAGGAGGTTTAAAAGACCCAATCTGTGCAGACTGAATATTTACAGCCCCCAGAACCCTGACCTTTAGATTTAGGGTAAGGCACACATAAACCAGCCTTATTAAGCCGTACACTGTGGGTCAGCCCGGGGATCGGGTCAGAACTGAAAGCTCCTCCTGGGTACTTAGCATTTTGCAAGTTCCCAGTGGCAAACAAGCAGAGTGCAATGAAGAATGACTCTATTTGAAGCCTGACGAGGTGCCTGCTGTTGGGGAAGAGACGGGGCACACAAAGCCCAGCAGGGCTCAGGGATACCTGGTGCCAGCCCAAGCTGTCCCAAGAGAGAATATAATTAGCATTGGGGTAAATCAAAAAATATTGGCCATGGTGTTGGATGCAGAGAGAAAATGCAACACTGGCTGCTCCCAGAGGAATCACTTGTAATTTCAGAGTTTGTCTGGCCTTTTCTTTCTTGGATTTGTCCCTCTGTATTACACAGAGCCGGGTGTGTTCGGCTGAATAAGGACCTCTTTGCCTTCATTCAGGTTTTTCTAGCAGACCTGCTGCAGCTAAATACTTCAATCAGAGCCAATCAGAGATTTTCAAAACCACCATGCCTCCCAGCTGGCACATCTTTTTTTTTTTTTTTTCCTCCTTTTTTTGTTCCGTTTCTCGAGAATTATGACTCACGCTCCGTGTTTTCAAGTTAAAGCCTTGCATTCCCTCTACACCCTCAGCCCGGTGCCTTCCTCCTGCAAATCCCTGCCTGAGATGGAGCCAAGTGGGGGGCAGGAGCTGCAGGGACGCAGGGTTTGGAGGGGGGGATGCAGCCGAGGGAGCGCACAGCATCCCTGTGTTTTTTGGAGCCAGGCCTTCAGGAGCTCAAAGGCCCTTCAGATCTGTGCGTAGTCAGGAGTTTGAAATGCTCCTCTGATGTATTTGCATATTTAAAAATAAGGGAGAAGGCAAAAAGATAAAAGGGAAGAGTTTGTGCACGGCAGGCAGTGACCTGCTCACAGGGAACACGGAAAGCTGCTGAAAGCCCAGACGAGGTGCTGGAAAACACAAACTCCATGAATTTTATATCAATATTTTTTGCTTGTTCTCGGCCTGCTCCCTCCCTCTCCTTTTCCTGATTTTGTGCCTTTCCTCCCCTGGGAGATGCAGCCCACCTCTGGGGCAGCAAGCTGCAGGCAGAGGGGACTGTGCTGCCCCTGGGGCTGGGCATGGGGGGCTGCAGGTACCCAGCAGGAGGCTGCGGTGGGCTGCCTGGGGTCCTGCCCTACAACCCCAAACCGCAAACCCACAGGGTCCAGAGCCCAGCGTGGGGTGTGCTGGGCAGCCCCGAACCAGCACTGGCTGTTGGCTCATGTGTACGTGGGGCCAAAAAGATGCGACCAACAGAGAGTCACCAGAAATTCGACATCCGTAATTCTCCTGGCGAGTCCGTCGTGGTGGAGGTGAGGGAAAACTGGCAGAGGCAGCGGGAAGGGTGCGCAGGTTTCTGGCAGTTTGTGCTCCAGCTGGACCACGTGCAACACAGCCCATGTGTTAAATAACCCAGACCCAGCGTGGATGAGCAAGGAGCAAAGCTAAAGTGCCACTTAGAGCGTAATGGGGTTGGTAACAAGTGCTGGTTGCTCGGGTTGGACGGTCGCGTTTTGAACTCATTTGCAGCGCGATGCCAGATGAGCACCATTCAGGCACCACTCAGAGTCCTGCGGGAAGAGTTACTGCAGGGAGTGTTTGTGGCTGGGTTTTTATGTGCACTGCCTTGTTTCCAAGCACAATTTTCCCCGTCTAGTCAGTGGCTGGTAATAATCAACAGGGCAAACATGCTCCTCTTGCTTTGCCAGTGACGGGCTTTCTGTGATTTGTGTCCATTTCTGCGAGGCGTCCCTAGCCCTCTGCCATATCACTGCATTAATCCTGCTGCTGCTAATAACCACCTACAAGGTGGACGCCACAAGTTCTCCAAGGGAATTGCACATCATTTTTCTGATATTCCAGGATTTGTTAGCTGGAATTGATCCTGCTGCTCCATTAGCTGGAAAATAAACAAACCCTCAGCCAAGCTGGCTGCGTGCTTATTGCTAGGAACCTGCTAGAAAAGACAAAAGATCCAATATTGCGATTAATAGGTCCACAGGGGCATTTTGAGAAGAGCTTCCATGTCCTCACTTTGCTCTGAACCTTCACAAAACCTTCAGTGCTTCCTTCCAGCCCGAGCCAAAAGCTGCTGCAGACAATCCCTGAGCTCCCCAGGCTTGCTCCCCATGGGGACCCACCAGGATCTGCTTTTCTCCTCCTGTTAGTGTCCTCCCAGGACTGCTGACAGCTTGGATAGTTGCAGGGGGAAGCGGGGACATCTCTCTGTCTCAGCTCCTTGCACAGACATTGGGTCAGAGAAGCCTTTCACCATCCCAGGCTCCAACCAGTCCCTTCATACTGGGAGCAAAGGAGCGAGCCTGGGGGCTTTAACTTGGGTCTTTCTCTACCTAACCCATTTTTGTTATTTTTTGCAATCCCAATGAAATATCCTTAAAATCTCTCTTCCTCTCCACCTTGGATGGTGCCAGAGATCCCGGGGGTGTTGCTGGCACAGAGGCATCGGGGCTGCTTTGCCTGCTTCCCCAGGAAGCGCTGCCGCCTGCCAACCCAGCCAGAGATGGTTCCTGTAGCCCGGGGAGCCAGAAAGAGGAACTGCAATAATTCCTTTTGTATGTAAATACTTGGAAGGCGTTCAGATGGGCAGAGCTGCGTGGAGCACAGAAGGCCTTGGCAGGTGTAGGAAGGATCCGTTAGTGGGGGCGGCCGTCAGACGGGCAGAAAGGGGTGCTGGCTTTTGGGGGGTTCACTCCTGCTGGGGTCCAGATCTCATCTGGGGTGGCAAAGGCAAGGATGAAATCTGCATCCCTGGAATCAGACCTGTTTGTGGTCCCGGGAGGATCTGTCCCCATCCTGTTGCCTTTGGAAGCCTCTTTGCAGAGGGAAAGATTTTCTCACAGACATCCGGAGGGGACCCCGGGGGATTTTTGTCACCTGAGAATTCAGGAGCAGTCTCACTGCCTTGTTCCCTGGTGTGTTCAGCAAGCTTGCCTCCTGCCGGAGTTGTTCTCACAGGCTTCCTTTCACCATGGGTCACCTCTGAGCCTGGTGGTCCCGGTAGCAGGAGGGGACCTCAGGGACTTGCCTTGTCCCCAGGGGACCCTCCTGGGCTTGTGCCCTCCGTGCTCCAGCTCCTGGGATTTCAGCACCTGCCTGGGAACGAGCAAGGAGCCGATGGAGTTAAGCCATTTGCAGAAGGCAGGAGGTTATATACATCAGCAGAGCAAACCTTTATGGGTGTTTGACCAGCAGCTCTTTGTAGGCACTCAGCACATTAGCAGGAACACTGCCATTTAGTGTGTAATCGTCAGCTTAAACCCTCTCCTTTTATTCCCCTCACTCTGCAATACCCAAAATAGAGCAATAAAAACCTCACCCAAGGGCGACCAATAATCACCGTTACCATTTGCCCCTGATCCTTATGTGTTTGCTGCTGGAAAGCTGGCTGGGAGCACACCGAGGACTTGTCTGTGATGCCCGGGGGTGAGCAGCACAGGGACACCCCACATTGTCACTGCCCCCATTTGGGATGGCAACACCCCAAGGGGGTAAAGGGGAAGGGGACAGTTTGGAGCAAACCCATCCAGGCCACCTGAAAAAACCTTTCTGGTTTGAAACTGGTCCCTCTTTGCTTTCCTGTCCGCAGGGGTGAGGCAGAGGCTGTGAAGTGAGCTGGGCTGGTGCTGTCCCTGCCTCAAAGGCTCTCCCATAGCAGCGGTTTTTAAAAATTAAATGCTGGCATCCACTTGTATTTGCATTGTGTAACGTCCTTACCCGATGCAATCACTTCAAATCACTGTTCTTCAAATCCTCTGGGGCAGCTGCAGCGAGCAGAGGGCCCGGGTCAAGTATAAACCTTCTGGTTTATTTGGGAACGCCTGTGTCGGTGTTACCGCTGCATTAATGAGCTGTGTAAATCACGGCCAGTTGTTAAATAACGAGGGGGGGAGGAGGGGAAGGCAGGAGGGGCTCTGCACCTTTTGCAGGCAGAGCTTTGCAGCTACAGGAACGAGCTGTGTCGGTGTTACAACTTGCCAGCTTGGAGGACATAAGTTTCCCATCCAAATATTGCTTCTTCAACGGCTTTTGCTGCTCTCAAGGGATCCTGCAGAAATTTGTAAAGCCCGACTTCAGCATGTCCTTAGAAGGGTTTTACAGAAGGCTAATATGAATGCAAATTTTGGTTATTAATAACAAGGCAGGGGGAGGCAGGATGCGAGCCTTCCTTTTGAGGCTCTCCCTGCAAGGCTGGGATGCAGAGGTTGGATGCCTGTCGCTGGCTCCCAGACACACCACAACATTTCTGCTTTGCCCATCACCCTTTGGTCTGCACATGGAAAAAGCCCAGTCCCGAGAAGCATCTCTCACTTCTGCATAACACACTGTTATTACTTTAATATTAAAGAGAAAGACAGGGGGGAAGTGGGAAAACAGACATATGGCTTGGCTGCAATCGTATTTTTTTTCTGGCTGCCTCCCTTCCATCTCCGACTGTCCCTAAAGCCAGCATCCTCTCCAACCTCAGAGCCTCACCAGAGTCCTGCAATGCAGACGGGCAGGATGGGTTTGCCACTGGATAGGATATTTTGGAAGGATATTTGGAAGAATAGGATGCTGTTTGCCAGCTGGGTGGCACAAAGTATTGCAGCCAGACCCACGGTGTAAACCTGGACCAGGAAACATCCACAAACACACACACCCCATAGTAAACAGCTGCTGGATGGATGGGGAGCGTGGGGCTGGCACTCTGTTTTTGCCTAAGAGGCTGCTCATGACACTTGTAAATAGTTTATATTTCCTATCCATTTTATCAAGGAGACTTTATTTCCTCTGTGTTTTCCCTCGGCAAGATTGACATTCACATTTCTGGTGGAAGCGCTTCTTCACTTGCTGCAGATGTGCTGAAATCTTAATATAGCTTAAATCCTCTCCGCTCCCTTTCCTGAGAATACAAACCGGGATGCTACAAGGCAGAATTGTTATTTTAGTTACCACTCTCCTAAGTCACCTTCACAAATCCATCATAATATTCCTGCATACAGTTCGGATTGCGTTACTGTTGGCAATGGTGTTTTGGGAGCTTTGAGTTTTGATGTGACAAATCAGGTGTGATAAAAAAAAGTAGTTCATAACAACACCATCTATTGCAAAAACAACAATAATAATATATATAAATATGGGTTATTTCTATAATGAGCTTTAAGTATTTCAGTATTATGCAGATTACTGGAAAAAAGCTGGTACGTACCATCAGCTGCATCCCTCCTGCAGAACCTGACATCCTCACTTCCCTCCAGGCTGTGGACACAGCCTAATGAAGGCACTGGTAAATGAACACATCACGCTGGGAGACTGTTTGGTTATGGGTCTGGGTTGGCTGAACTCAAATATACTCAAAAAACTTTGGAAAAAATGGGGTCAAAAAGATGTGGGTTGGGGCCACTGCTGATAAAAGGTATTCAGGTGTGGCCGTGAATCATCCCAAGGCACAAACCTGGCTTATTGGTAACAAAACACCTGCTAGAGAGACATCACCTGTGCATTGATCTGCAGCCTTCCCCAGTCTGGCCTGAAACACCCTGCTGAAAACAGGAAGAAAAATGTTAGGTGCACCCAGCAACACCCAGACAGTTTTCCCTCTCTCCTTTTTCTCGGTGTCAGATCATTTGGATCGTTCACCGGATCATTTAGATGGAGATGTGCTTGCTTGCACTTGGTCAGGTCCAGAATCAGTCATCCACAGGGTAAAGAGTGACATTTCCTGCCCACGTAGCCTGCCACGTGAAAGAAATGAAGCTTACGTGGTGCTTGGGCTGAGCTGATCTTTATTTCCTGGAAAGATGCATTTCCCGAGCGCATCATAATTATTGACATGAAGGTTCAGAACCTCGTAGTGCAGCAGGGAGGGCTTCAAAGCAGGACATCCCTCAGCACCCCCTTCCAGCCAGCTACAAAGATGATGATCCTCCAGTTTATGGCTGTGCCAGGGTTATGGGGTGTGTGTCGATGATCAGGCAGGGATGTGGGTGGAGGTATGGCCAAGGTGTGGCTGCTCATAGTCAAAAAAGGGGTTGGGAAAATGCTGCTTACTCCAGACAGCTCAGAGCCAGGCAGGGAAAAGCAGCTGCAAATAAAAACCCTTCCCATGTGTTTTGCCCTAGTTCCTGACCAAGCCAGGCTGCTGCTGCATCCCTGGATCCCTTTCCCCCAACAGCTCCCAAGCGAGGTGAATCAGTGTCTTGGGAAGGAGGGGGAAAGAAAACACAGGAACTGCAAAAGAAATTGGTTTCACCACTTTGCCCCTTGATTACTTAACACTGCTCACATGCCAAATTTCTGCAGAGAAGCCATCAGCACAAGAGCCATGGGTTGTGCTCCCCTGATTGCCTCCATCACGCCTGCACCCAGAGCAGAGCCCCCACTTGTTTCACTTGGCAGCCCCCGTGAAACCCAATCCATTTCCACCTCCGCTGGCCCACAGCCCTGCTGCACGTTTTCCTCCCTATTTCAAAGCTGACATTTGCAAATAGATGTATTTATACATAATCCCTTCTTCTGCTGAGTTTTTTTTTTTTAACCAGGCTAGAACGAGACAGACGCTCATTTTTTTATTTAATAGCGAGATTCCATCAATGCCTCGAGCTGCACGTTTTGCACCCGCAGGAGCCGGGTGTTTACGTGCTGGCATAATGAACCATCAGCTGCGGGGCTGCGGAGCGACGGGGACGTTCTGTGTGTTACGGCCTTTAGTGAAAACAGTCCCCAGTCAATAACTACTGATTTTCTCAGGAGGAGAAGACCCTATTTGCAGTTGATATTTTCAGGGAAACCGTATGCTCGGAGCAGGGCAGTGGCACGGGGTGTGATGTTGCTGTCGGAAATAGCCAACGATCAGGCATTGATCTTCACCTAGATGTGGCTGTGTGGGACCAAAAGAGCTGGAGAAACATAATAACAATGTGATTTTCTATTTTCTCTGCTGAGATGAGTAGCTTTGGAGCTCCATTATCGCACCCCTTGTCTGTGATTTAGTTTCAGGGGTTTTTGCAACATTTGATGCCAAATGCTGCTCCAGATGCCCGGCAGGGAGCATCCTCAGCCCTGGAGCACACCGGTGGCAGAGGGACATCACCCGGAGGGCTCCCCTGCTCTGGACCCAACCTACCAGACAGGAACAACATGTCTGGATGAGACCCAAAATCTTCACCATATGAGCAATCCCAACACCTGCAATGGAGCAACAGGAAGGAAACTTTCCCCAACCAAGCTGCTGACAACCTGCTCCTCTGCTACCACCATCCTCGGGCAGCTCAGCCCCACATTTCAGTGGGAGCAGGGCCAGGCACTGAATTCGTTTTTTTACCAAAAAACCTGTATTTGCTGATGTGCTCTTCCCAGAAGTGCAGAGCAAAGTTCAGCGTAATGCAGGGCTTAAAAATTCCAGCAGCTGTAAGCAGGAGATGTTTTGACGTGTTTGATAAAAAAACTAGTCCTCGCTTCCAGGCTGGCAAAGTTTCACTTTATATTTTTCCCTCTACGGAAGATTTTAGAGTAGTAAGGATTTTAAATACATCCACATAATGCAGCTTCAGACAGCAAACAGGATTAAAACCCGACTCCAGAAAAGGAAAGGAAGTCAGATTACTTGTCAAAATTAAATTTGCCTTTGGATGCCATTACTTTCTACATTAAAAAGCTCTGGGGATTAGGAGATAAAAGAGCTAAATCCAATCTGGAGACAGGCTCAGAGGAAAATGTCAGCCAGCCGGTAATCCAGGCTCTTTTCTTTAATAGGATCCTCCCGAAGTCAAAGAAAGTGAGAATAATTATTTAATTCCATTTGGAAGCCGGGCTTCCTTATCGACCTGGCTCAGCACCACCGTCCCCGTGGTGAATCACCCGGTGGCCCAGCCCTTGCTGCTCCACATGGTGTTGGCTTCGCCCTCCGTGCAAAATGATCCCTGCAGCTGCCCCGTGCCCTCAGCACCAGCTTCCCAGCAGGACAGGGCCACCCCTGGCAGGTTCCCCTTTGTGTTTTGAAGCACAGAGCCAACCCTACAGCCTGCCCCAGCCATCCTCGCCCCCAAAAGACTGTAACCATGGTTGCAGAGCGATCTGCAGGCACGGATATCTGCACGGACACACGTGCACCGACACGGGGGATGATTTCATTCTTTGGTGGGGTACAAGAGCCATGAGGAGCTCCATGCCATCTGACGTGCTGGTAGATTCATGCCGAAGTTTTCTTTAATCCAAGCACCAGATGAAGCTCCTCGGCCACCACCGTGGATGAAAATCAGCGAACAATAAACATCAAAACGCCTTAGGGCTTCGGGAGAGACCTGAGGCGAGCAGCAGCAGTGTGCTCCGGTTGCCAAAGCCGGGGAGAGCAGGAGATGGGCTGTGCTATGGGGGCTCGGTTAATTAGGGCTCGGGTGACCCTGGGAGCTCAATAGGTGGGTGAGAAGCAAAAGCTTGCTATGAGAGTGCTATTTTTAATAGGAGAAGGAGAGCAGGAGTCTCTGGAGCTAGAGAGATCAGGCGCTGGAGTTCGGCTGGATGCGTGTCAAACTGCAGGTCAAGAATTGTTTGTCCACAGACACTTGCTGCTCTGAAAAGGAAACAAAAAGCAGCCTGTGGAAAGAGGCGGTGGGGCTCCACCAGCCCCTGGTGGCTTTGGGTCTGGAAAATGCACCTGCTTGCACAGGGAGGGCAGCGGGGGGCTGCTGGGTGGTGCAGAGGGTACGAGACATCTCCTGCTTCCTACTGGGATGTTGTAGGGTCTGTGCAGGAGCAGGGCTGCCAACCTCCACCTCACCTCACCCACCAGCACAGCCAGACCCAGGGACCCCCCCCTCGCCTCCCATCCAAAATTAAAGACTTGCCGCTAGCCTTCAGCTCATCAAAATCATGCCCATGCAAATGGAAAGGACAGCGGGGCCAACCGCAGCATCTTCAGAGGTCGTTTGCTTAAACCAACGCTCCCCCAGGCTCAAATAAAGGGGCAGTGAGAGAAAAAATGCAGCAAGGCTGGTCAAGTGGATGCACTGGAGGGGAACCAAGCTGTCAATGAGGGTTTAATAACACAGGGACTGGTTTGGGTGATGTGTCCCCCCCCGGGATGTCACTGCCAGTTGTATCCGTGCCAGCCCTGCCTGTGCCACTTTTGACAAAGCAAAGGTGGCCCGTCATGCCTGATGCCTTTTTTTTTTTTTAATTAAACTAGCTGTAGGGAAATATAACATTTTCCTTCAGTAATTCATCCCCACGGCTCCCCTATTTTGTCATTTTAATTAAAGCCAGCCCCAGCCACAGTTTGGATGTTTGCAGCGATTAGTATTAAATCAAGCTCAGGCCTCGGGGACTGGTCCCTCGTCTGCTTTTGGATGGGTTTTTACAGCAAAAACCACCAGGATCTGGGGCTGAGCACCTGAAAAGGGCAGCACAGCCACAAAGGCAGAGACCTGGGGCTCGGCTGGGGCAGGATTTTGCCCCGTTGGTGGTGCTGCCCCTGCCTCTGCTCACCACGGCCAGGCGCAACCGAGCTGGAGGTTCACCCCAGTACCCCAGCTGGATTCTCACCTTGACTGCTCACCTTGCATACACAGAGGGATAGAGAGCTGTTAGGGTTTAATATAAGGGAGGTGAAAGGGCTGGGAGCTTGGCTGCCACCCCAGCCCTGCCCATCCTTCCCTCCCCTGCAATCCCTGCCAGCACCTGTGCCTCTTTCAGCCGGAATTCTCCTTCATGCCCAGCCCAAACCTGCCTTTCTTTGAGGTTAAATAATTTGCCCCCAGCTGCTTTGATCACTGTTGCTCTGTTAATCTGTGAGTTATACGGTATTCAGAGGTTTTGTTAAGCCCACAGCTTCAGGGAGAGGTAGGTACTCGGGTCTCACATATTTCACTTTTTTAAAAGCTCTCATGTTAGCCTCGGCGGTGTCAGAGCAAAGGTGGAGAAGCGTGACCCATGAATCAGCTAATGGCTCAGAAACAAAGAGAGGAACAAAAGAGGAAAACACCCAGCATGGATTTGTTAAATCTAATTTCTTCTTGATTGCTTTGCCTGGGCCCGGTTCAGAGGATTTTGGGTGACCAGCAGAGCCCAGGAATTGCTGTGCTGCCAGGGCACTGCTCCAGCACTGCCACAATCTGAATTTTTCCCCCACCAGGGAGCAGCTGCTGGAGGTGCCCAGGGACAGATTCAGGTGCAAGCCCCCCCGGCTTCTTTCTGGCCTTCAACAGATCCCCCTGGGGCCAGCACCCATCCCCACAACCCCTCAGGGGCTCAGCTCGTTTCAACAACCCAGCTGCTTGGGGGGAGAAGGCAGCCGAGCCCCACACCTGCCCCAGAGCCTGGAGCCAAAGGGGGACCCAGGCTGGCAGCACACAGTTACCCCAGCAATAAAACCCTAAACAAACCCCAAATCCCTTGGCTGAAAGCATGCTGTGTGTGTACGAAGGTGAGAAAACTCCCCCAGGACGTCGGGTACCTTTGCTTGACCTTGCAGATGGGCACAGGAGGACACTCGGCGCTCGCTGCGGCACGGGGGCGAGCGGTGGCCAAGGGGGGAAGCAAAAGGCAGGCAGCGCTGCCAGCTCTGCCCGAGCACGAGCAGATGGAAGAAACAGGAGGAAGCATGGCAGAGTGAGTCAAGACTGTGATTTTGCACAAGGGAAAACTGTTCCTCCCCACAGCAAAAGAAAATTAAAAAAAAAATAATGGTTATCTTGTCAACAAGTCTTCAGGATTTGTGCAGAACACGAGCGGGCGATGAGCCCTCGCAGGGACACCTGAAACAGCACCAGCTTTTTCTAGCTGGAATTACGCTGGTTTGGTAAAAACATAGAATTAAAACACATGGAAAGCAAGGGCTTCACAGCCAGAAGCAGGAGTAGGGCTTTGGTTTCGCATCCCCTGTGCAGTCAGAGGAGGAGAGCAGCTGCTGCCGCCCCCTGCTTCCCCCCACGTGGCGCTCAGCACCGCCAGCGAGCACCGACCCATCTTCCCTACCAGAGCCACATCCAGCACATCTGCCTCACCTTGACCCCTAGAAAATGAGATTGCATGCCCAAAGAAGTCAAAGTCTGGATACAGGGACCCCAGAGAAATGGCAACCTTCTCTAAATGCCAAGTAAAAAATAAAAATACTTTGGTAACAACCCTAGCCTTAGAGGGGAAGGACCAAAACACCTGCACTAACCAAAAGGTGCAGGAAGATCCTAAACCTCCTCTCTTCCACCAGACTCCTGCAGCCTCCTTGGTAATGACTTGGTACTTAATTAAGAGTGGTTAAAGTTATTCATCACACCTGACTCAGGCTTGTCTATGAGGAGAGAAGCTGCGGAGGCTTTGCACAGAGGAAGGTGGTTTAACCCCCTCCCTCCCCAGCATCTCCGAGCTGCTCCCCGGTCTCCTCTTGGGGCTCTGCACATCAGCAGCAGCCAGTTTCCAGGTGTTGGGAAGGCTGGGTCTGATCCAGGTCCATGTAGCACAAAACAGATCAAAGGACTGCAAAGCAAAGTGTTCATCCGCAGGAGTGCTGGGGCTGGGGAGCAGCAGATGCACCCCCAGACCTGGAGTGCAGAGCTGGGCACGCTGTGGGTTTGCAGTAAAACACCCTGTAACCTGCTTACTGACCTCCCTGTCCTGGGGTTTTGGGATGAAGGGTTGTATTGCACACATCCACACAGCTTTATGTAAGTGCTACAGAGACGCTTAAGAATAAATTAAATGCATCCAACTCCCCTCAGAACGATGAATCAATCTCATTTGCATGTCTCACCCACAGCTCCCGAAGTGCTGATGCTGGGAGAAAGTTCCTCCAGTTTTCTTTTTTCTCCTTGTCTGTCCTCACACGCATTTCTCCAACCTCCCTCGTGTCTTGGACATGCCAACACCACGCTGCGAGGATGAGATGAGTCAAACCCCCTGGACGAGGGTGGGCACCTGCCCACATTTTACCACTTTCCAGAGTGTGTTTTACAAGCCCACAGCATGCTCAGGCTCGTCTGCTCTGCTCATCCCTCCACGCTGCCATCCCCAGAGATTAAAGGCTCGTGGTTCTGGCTCGGGCTGCCCTGTGGGGTCAACCCCTTGCTGTTCCCCTCCCACCCCACTCTAGCCAAGAGCTCACAAATTTCCAGTGGGAAAAGTGGGTTCAGTGATAGCCAAACAGCTCATGGTTGCTAAATGTGGCTGTTCTTGCAATGTCCTGAAGGAATCAGCAATCCTGGTTAAATTAGCACCAGGGCATTATTCCACTCTGGTGCTGCAGCCTGCAGCTACCTCCGACCAGAAAGGAGCTTCCATTGCCAGATATTTCAGTGTCTTCCTACCTACCACATCACCAGGGGGACCTGACCCCCCCATCAGCTACTAAAACAAATTCTGCAGAGATTTCAGGTGCAGAGACTCCGGGCTCCTGCGTTTTATCGCAAAGGAATCAGTTTTGCATTACAAAGGCCAGCAAGGAAACCTTTCAGTGCTGGGTCTGCACTTCTCCTCTTGATGCTAAGACAAGCTATAAACCGAGCTCACTGAAAGCCTAAAATATTTACTGATCATCCTCCTTCTGCTGGCCACGTGGAAGTAATTGCCATGGAGTAAAACAGAGAAGAGATCTCTTTATAGCTCTCAGGGAACATTTTTCCCTGAAGGAAGCTACCACCTCTCCCCCAAATGTATGAGTTTTGGTCTCCCAAAGTACACAACACTTCTTTTCTCCTTTTCTTTCCCCAGATCTGCACACCTGCTGGCAGCCAGGATGGAGGAGAAATGTTGGGGACCAGGAGGAGATGTGCATCGCAGGCACTGGTGAAGCTCTCGGGGCGATGTGGCTCTCCCCTTACCCACCGGTAGAAATCCGGAGGTGTAAATGTGTGCACCTAAGGAAGCAATGGGAAGGTAAAGCTGAGCCTCCTCTATTTAGGACAAGTACGTCTCCAGGGTGGGATTCTCACCGCTGAGCCTCAGCGAGCAGCCAAGATGCCCACTGGAGGCACAGAGCGAGGAGCTGCTTGTGCCTGCGTGTGCCAGCAAGGAAACTCGACACGAAGCCAGCTGCTGGATGGGGAGGAGAAAAAAGAGTTATGGAAGGGATATTGTCAATGCTAATAGCCAGTTCAATGCAATTATAACCCTTGGGCATACAGCCTTTGGCCTACCAGGAGGTAACATTTCTGGGATTTCATCCTAATCCCTAACGTTTATCATCACCCGCTTCCAAGCTGAGATCTGGGAATTGCAGGTGGTCCTCCTGGAGGGGCTGGCTGCACAGTAAGGGGGCTGTGACACGAGGTGGCAGCCCCCAGGGCTGTGTCCCTGCCCCATCAGAGCCCAAGTGGGGTCTGCCCAGGGCTCACATCGTGTTCATCCATGGGCACAGCCCAGCACCCTACAACTCCACGGCTCTTTCCACAGAAAAACTGTTCACAGAGAGTGAATAAAAAAAATGATGTAGTACCAGCTTTACAGGGTTGGCTCGCTGGCACAGAGTAGGAGGAAGCCTTCAAACCCCAGCACTCATTACGAGCCGTACATCCGTGGCTGTTGTGCGTAATAGTCTGTTCCTAATGAAGCTTGAACTGGAGCCAGTGAAATCGTACAAATGTAAGGGAGAGGGGGGAAAAAAACAGGCCTGGTGCTTTAAGTCTGCATTAAATCTTGCCTGCTGAATGGCTGTTAAATATTACAGGTCACTTTGCACCTGTGGGTGATGAGAGGCAACAACGCTGCACCTGCCACGTTTCATGGTCAGGCCCAGCATGCCGGGCATCTAAGTGGTACAGGCTGCAAAATATATCTCTAGATGTGTTGTTAGACATGATCAGCACCGTATGAAATTCTTCAATGGTTTTGCACAGCCTGTTGAGCCCCTGTAATGAGGAGGAGGAGGAGGAGCATTTACACAAACCTGCAGTTTATGAATGTGCCGTTTGTACGCTAAACTTGCCTGCTATTTATTGGGCTGGATCTGGCAGCTCAGAGTGAGTTGGAAACAGCAAATCACTTAGTACATTGCCTCCGAAACTAAGCTAAATAAGACTCTAGGGAACAAGGCAGTCCATGGTCATTGCCTCCATCGTATTCTTTACTCTCAACATGTTTTTTCCCTTGGTTTACATTACAGTGGGGCTACAGAAACATCTGCTCCAGACTTTAACTGTGTCAGCTTCCTGATAGAGATGCTCTGGTTTTATTCTCTCTTAATTTTTCAAAATTTTCAAATTTCAAAATTTTCAAAATTTTAATTTTTCTTCTCTGAACATAAGTGGAAAGAAAGATGCAATGCTGTCAGAGGTTTGAGCAGAGAGAGAATATTTTTTATAGGGCTGCTCACCTAGTCCTGTACAGGCTCTTCCTGCACAGCTTTTTCAGTGACTTTGTCAGGCAATTTATCCAACTCCCAGGTAATCAGCGGCCTTGCTCTTAGTAGTTACCAACCCTCATTAAGCACCACCTCACACTTGAAGGGTCTGGAGGGGGCTCAGAGCAATTCCCTGCAGTTGTACCCACAAACAGCAGAATTTGGGGGAACGGAGCTGCACGGGGTCTGCACTGCCATCAGCTTCTGATAACAGCAGCACTGTGAGGGTGAGGTGCACAAGCCCTGTGTTTACTCACGTCCGTGTGCTCATCAGGTGAGGAGCAGTGCAGTGCATAATCTTCTGTGACAAACAGATTTTCCCCAGGAATCTCATAAAGGACTTGGAAAGGACATTTATGGCTTCATAAAGCACTTTGCTAACGACTTGCTTTACCACTGCTAAATCAACTGAAATCATTTAGCACTGTCCTCTTGTAACTTTCCACATTTGGTCTACAGGGGAAAAAAAAAAAAAAAGAGTGCTGACATTTGCAAAATACATCTCAACCCATATTAGATGGTGTTAATTAAAATGACTTGCCGGGTAATGAGCTACAAGGAAAAAAAAAGAAATCAATCAGAGGCTTAGCGCAATTAAAGCCAGCTAGCCCAGCTCTGCGCTGGTGTGGTAGCACCAATGCTCCTGGCATGGGGCAGCTTGGAGCTGAGCCTGCACGGCTTCCTTCATCATGGGCATCCCATCCAGAACTCCTGCATCCCTGCAGCACGATGGGCTATGATGGGGCTTGTCGTGCGACTGAAAGCTCTGGTGGGTGCTCCCACCCATGCCAAGGGGCAGCAAAGGCTTCTGCAGCCCTCCCCTTCCAGCATTCCTCACCCTGTCCCCGAAAACAGAGCATTTCCATCATTGCTGGAGCCTGAACACCATGCACAGAGCCTGCACGTGGTGCTGAGCCTGGTGCTGCCCCTCCTCACCTGCCTTCACCCACAGCCAGCATCTCAAGACCTGCCTTCAATCAATACCAGTGGATAACTCTAAGAACGAGAAAAAAGGCAAGGGGAATAGGGAGGAAAATCCAACAATATGAAGGAAATGGGCTATTTCTTCCTGAAAAAGGTGCCTTTCAGGTGGTTGGGTCATGGTGCAAATTAATAGTGTGCTGGGACATTGTTGCAGGCACTCTGTGTATTCGGAAACTGAATTACCAAATGAGATGTGACCTGTCCCCAAAGAGGGGAATTTCAGTGCTGTGCTGTGGAGGGAAGCGTAGCTGTATTGTCTCTGAGCATTTTGCAGCTTCTGCTCCCAAATTCACGTAAACATCTGCCTTAGCTTAAGTGCTTCCTTAACACCCGCGTTTGCAGAGTGGGGGCCGATTGCAGGAAGTTCAATCCAAGGCTTCTGCTGCTACAGCTCTTATTAAGTGTCAGAACTAAATGGGCAAAACTTGCTCTTAAAAGGAGCCCAGCTGACAGCAGTGTGAAGAGTGCTTTTTATTCATCTTCCAAACAGGTACTTTCAGGCGAGCAGCACTAAAACCTCTCTGCTTGGCCCAGCCCAGGCGCTGCTGTCCTAGAGGATGATATGCCAAGACAGGGAGGAAGCTGAGTCCTGCAGGCGTGCCACCACGTCCATATAGCAAGCAATAAATAACCATAATGGGCCCTTTCCACTGCTTCTCTCTTGAGGCTGTCACCCAAGTCACCAAACTGTGGATTTGCATTCACCATTTTAACCATTGCTACAAGAAGTGAGGAAGGAGTTAAAATTGAACAGAAGCAGCAGTTTTCTCCCCTCTCTAGTTCTCCTCACCCCCTGTGTGTTCAGTCACAGCCCAGAACCATAAAATCACAGAATGGCTTGGGACAGGAGGAAACTTAAATATCCTCTACTTTCACCCCCCTGCCATGGACAGGAACCAACACATTTCCAATTTTTAAATAAAGAAGTTATCACTGCACAAGTGTCTGGGTACTTTCCTGCTCTTACCCCTTGTTCTGTCCTCCCTGGTCATTTTTCATCCACACAATAGGAGCCAGGGCAGAGCAGACCTTGACCAGAGCAGGAGGAGCATCTTCTGCTGCAGGGCCAGAGCAGAGCTCTCCTCCCAGCTTGCTCCTGCTCCCGTTACTCTGCCTCTAAAAACGAGGCACAGCTGGGATGGCTCTGCCGGAGGAGAAGCCCTGGGTGAGCCTTGATCAGGAAGCCTTTCTCCTGCTCACACACGTGGCAAAGGGAGTAGAAAATTCCTACTTGTCACCAGCAGCAAGGCAGGCACAATCAAGAGGAGCCAGGATTTCAGCTGTCAGCAACAAATGGCATCGTGGCACGGATCCTTCACTTCATAACCTGGACCCAGATAAATGATAAGCCCTGCCAGAAAGATCTGAGCAAAGGCAACTCTCCGGCCAGCCAGACCAGAAGAGAACTTTATTTATTCCAGCAAAGCCCCTGGTGACCATCAGAAGGACGGTCACATATGCACTTCAGATTTAATTTCCCTAAATGATGCATTGTTAGGAGGGATGGGAGCTGTGGAAGCGCCCTGGTGAGTCTGTTTGTAGTGATACACCGAAGGCAGCTCCGAGATGTCATAGCTGTGATACGGCACTTCAGAGGACAGGGCGGATCATCGATCCAGATTTAGACCCGTGTAAAAAGCAGATCATGTGCACGCAGTTATGAAAACCCCTCCACCTCCCTGCCACCAGCGATGAATTACCCTGCATGTCCCCAGCGAGGGACTGGAGTGCCAGCCATCACCCCAGGGAAGGCAGAGCCAGGGAGACATGTCAGATACAGATCAGGGGCAAAGCAGAGGGGGTTTTATAAATCAAGGGGGACAGAGCTGAGCTGGGATGAATTGTTTAGATGAAGCTGAGCACAGGGTTGGGAGAGCACCAAGTGTCCCTGTCACAGACAGCCCGGGAGGGATGCGCCCCCCTTGCAGCATCACAGTGCTGTGCTTGCTCTTCACACCTCGGGAAGACTGAAGCATCTCCCCCACACGTTCACAGCCAGCAAAAAAATGTTCACATTCTCTTAAAGGAAGACTTCAGGCAAACAAATGGGAGTATAAGCGATTCATCACTGTCTGAAAATGATTCTCTTTGATTTGTGAAGCTCTCAAAGGGTAAAACACAGAAACGAGCATGCTTGGTCACACCTGAGGTGCTTTCAGAATAGCTCTCTCCTTGGGGATGTGTGTTCATTTTTAATTATCTGTGCTGAGAAGGTACATTTGGGTAACTGCAAGAGAGATGGGAGGGTATATATATATATATATATAAACCCCTTCTTTTCAGAATGAATTTTTACAGAAACCAGGCCAAGTGCACACCATCATCCTTGTATCCAGACTTGAAAGACTCCAGACCCAGCACAGGGACGTTTGCTAAGGGAAGATGGGAGCTCCTAGCTCACAGCAGCCACTGCAAGAGGCACCAGGCAGTCTCCATCGTGGTCTCTTCCTCACTCCCCTATCTCTTCTTCCTCACCACCAACTAATTCTGTCCAAGAGGGCGATGCAGCTCTCCATCCCTCCATAGCACTGGGCACCGGTGTTGGGAGCAGCATGCAACCAGCACTGTGAGAGGGGTGGAAAAAAAAATATCATTTTCTTTCTTGTAAACTTAGCAGGACTCTCTTTAGGAAAAGTAAATATAAAATTGCCCATGTCATTAAAAAAAGATGTATGGCTTAAAGAAATCATCAGGGGTACAGACAGCAGAGAAGCCTGTTGCCTTCTGAAAACACTTATCAGCATCTTTGTCAGAAGGAAACCTTTATTCTCTTCCTTGATAAACTACCATGGATGATGGAATGCAGAAATAAATGATGAATGAAATGCCTTAATTAAATACAAACTGAGAGCAACTTGGGGCATTGTATTTTAATTCAGTCCTTTGACAGCACTTCATAAGCCTTAGGACAACATTTCATATTTAGTAATGCAGATGAGCTGCTGCACTGGCAACCTTCACCCCCCAACAGGAAAGATGGGAGAGCTGAAAGCTATGGAAAAAACACTTCCCAGGGCCAAGTGGAATTAACTTTTTTTTTTTAATTGGAAAAAAATAATGTTGGGGTAAGCAGTTTCCCCAGGACTCAAGAGGCAAAGTCCTGCAAGCTGTGAGCACCCTGGGATTCCCAAGGAGCTGCTGGAGCAGCCCACTGAGACCATGGCAGAGGAAACTCCATCGCCCTGGGAGGAAGCATTCCCATGGTCTGGGAGGAAAAAAAAACACTGCAGTGCATGAGGTGCTGCCAGAGGAGGGACTTGCCTGAGCATCACGGACCTGGCTGAAAGGCAGGAGTATGAGCAGAAAGACATCACAAAGGCTTAGGGTGACAAAACCCATTACAATTCTAGGAAGTGTCTCTTTAAACAATTTCAGAGCCTTGCTATGTTTCACCCCAAGCACCAAACCTACACTTCTGGGATTAACTTGGAGAATAGCTTCTCAACCAGTGCTGGCATTGCCTCCTATTAACACGTAGGGGCCAATTAAATGATCGGTGCAGTCAGATTGCAAATGCCTCTCACAAAGCAATATTTCACCTTCAGTCCCCATCATAGTGCAGTGCAAAAAAAAAAAAAAAAAAAAAAGAACAGAAAAAGCATTCCCTCTGTGGGCTGCTTCTTCTTTTCTCTCTCTGCTGCTAGTCCTTCCAGATCTAATAAACAGGGCTAATAGACAGCTACATCCAAAGATTTACTGCATTTAAGCCCGACACGAGGATCCGGAGATGTAGCCCTTAAGCGCTGATTTGTATTCAGCACGAGACGTTAGCTCAGGGAGCAGAGCCAAACTCAGTGCTGAAATTCCTGCTTTCACAGTGGAAGACTTAAAAGGCTACGAGCACAATGTCATCAGAGAAGGTTTGAACTCGTTCACGAGTTTTTTAATAAGACTCTCAAGCTCCCCGTTTGGGTTACGGGAGGATTTATGGGTTTAGAGAAGAGCGCTTCTCAAGATGTTTTATCAGAAGTTCCAACAGGAAGGGAATAACTCCAGGGGAGACAAACGACAGCACCAGGGCTGGTGACAGGAGCTGGCTCCCACAGCTGGGTGTGCTCCCACCACAGTCCCCTCGGGGGCCTGAACAAGACCCCTCTTTCCCAGAAAGGGTAAAGGAGCAGGATGCTCATCTACAACCCACGTTGTGTTCATTTGCCTCCAATATTTCAAGCCTATAGGCACTACAAGGAGCCTAGAAACATTCCCAAGCCTTTTTTTTTTCCCTCAAATATATTTGGAAAAATAGCCTCCAGGATCTCACAGATTTGGGGCTGATACAAAAAGCAGGATCTGATGCCCTGCAGAAGGGCAGATCCATTCACATCCTGATGTGAGCACATCTCCTGCATCCTCCACGGAGGCACCGCTGTGCCCATCACTGCTGGCAGCCAGGGCAGCCTCACTGCTCATCTCTGGTGGACAAAATGACAGCTCCATCGTCACTATTAATCAGCTCATTAATGAAGGCTTGGAAAACCAGTCCTGGAGATGGGGGGAAGGGAAAGGCAGGGGGGAAAAAAAAGGAATGAGATCAGCAAACTAATCCATCTCTAAGATTTTTTTTTTTTTTTTTTAAAGCTTTTGACTATAGATTTCTTCCTTCCACACAGTCTGCCAGAGCAGGGAGGGGGGACCTGTGCAGTTAAACAAATCAATTGATGAATTTTCTCCATGACATTCAAGGGCTGAGTCCTGGGCTAATCGTAAAAAGGCACTGCCAGAGGATTTTAATAAATCCCCTTAATTAAGTGATATGTTTTAGAATTAAATTATGATGAAAACTATAAATCCTTTCCCAATGAATGGAGCTCAGTGTGTACAGAAGGAGCAGGGCATCCCTCTTCTTTTATCTTCCTGTTTTCCCCCTCCTTAATACAACAGGATTCAAACAATTAATTATCAAACAATACAGGAAGCCATGTCATTTATCACCCTGCAATCCAGCCTTTTAAGAAGTGAGATTTAACCTTGCACTAACTAATCCTGTGCTGGCAGAACAGTTTAAGGCTTTTTTTTTTTTCCTCTTTCCTTCCCTTCCTTGCTGAAGGACTCCAGGGCTAGTGCCCTCAGCTTGCCAATGCCCCTTTGGGAATCTTGTCCCTGTGCTTCATCTGCAATGTGGTGCTCAGCCAGCCAGCCCCAAGGAGACACAAGCAGAGGCAGAATTTTCTCCACTTGGTGCTCACAGCAAGCACAGGGAGCTGCTTTTGTGCATAAGGAGTTAATACAAGGAGAGCTACAATAAGATGGGATAAAGTACTTGGGTCACTTGTCCCTGACCCCAAGGGACTGGGCCTGTACACCTCATTGATAGTGTGGTGTAAATGCCTGAAGTAACTAGGAAAATAAAACTAACATTCACACTTTTAAGGAAAAGGTACAGCATTGAAGAGGCTTTCAGGGTAGGGCATAACTGCATTATCTGAGCATTCCCTAGGCTCCCAACCTTAGATGCTATCGCGCTGGGGAAACTTGGTGTGCTAGCCCTAAGGAACACCACGGAGCGTAGAGTGGAGCGGAGACACCACGGCTAGGCTCCGTAATCAGGTGGGACCTCGATTGTTCTTGTGCACAAAGCAGCACTTTTTGCCACCCTAAGCCAAAGACCTGTCATGTTTTGACAAATGCTGTACCCTAGTGTACTTTTTGCTCATTATAATATCATTATAATACCAAAACACACCTCCATCCCAAAAGCTACCCGCCTCCAAGGTGCGACCACCCCTCACTGAGCATGCGCCCTGAATTTCTCGGAGCCTATTACTTTAAACGGAAACGGGAAAACTTTACACCAATCATAACTAAGATATGCTTGACTAGAGCCACTCAAGCTCCACCTAAAAGATAGAAAATAATATAAATTGGCCCAAGAGAGAGGGGATGTTAGGGAAGATACCATCGTCAGGGGAGATACCATCCCAAGGGCATACAACATCCTTAGGACCTCCTGACTCCTGGGATCAGTCGACGGGCTGAGCCTCTCTTCCCCCCCCATTGGGACGCCTTTGGGTGAGATCTGAATATTTGCTTATAAATCTCTATAGAGTCTTTGATCCTTTTAACGCGTTTATACCTAGAACCCACACCTAGAACCCACACCTAGAACCCACACCTAGAACCCACACCTAGAACCCACACCTAGAACCCACACCTAGAACCCACACCTAGAACCCACACCTAGAACCCACACCTAGAACCCACACCTAGAACCCACACCTAGAACCCACACCTAGAACCCACACCTAGAACCCACACCTAGAACCCACACCTAGAACCCACACCTAGAACCCACACCTAGAACCCACACCTAGAACCCACACCTAGAACCCACACCTAGAACCCACACCTAGAACCCACACCTAGAACCCACACCTAGAACCCACACCTAGAACCCCTGTGTATTTCATGCATACTAGCTTGCTTTTGCAGATAGTCACTATCACCGGCAATCCAAAAGAACCTGATTATCTGTTGCTGTAATAAACCATACTTGATTGCATTGTGATAGCTCTCATTAATGCAACTAGGGTGAGGGTGGTTATCCGTGATAGTTCAGTGTTCTGAACCTAACCGGACCCCCAGGCGGTTATTACGTTTTTGGTGAATGTCCGAACGGACCCCCAGTTTTGGTGAATGTCCGACTGGTTCAGTACTCTGAATCCAACCAGGCCCGTAACGGTTAATCAGCTACACCCCTTTAACGCGACAGATAGTCACAGCCAGCAATGGCACCAAGCCCAGCTCCAGCAGAACCAGCTTGGTGTCCTCCTGCCCTCGCAGGGACCCCTGGTCACACAGATGGTGCTTGCCTGCAGCTCTGCAGCACACGGCTTCAAAAAATGAGAAGCATCCCTGTGGGACTGAGCCCAGCATCTTGCAGCATCACACAGGGCAGGTAAGATGCTGTTGGTGGGGCAAGAGAGATCCCAGTCTGACCCCCTGACCAGGGCAGAGGCATTTATAGCTGTAGATTGGCATTAAGGGGTGGGAGGATGCATTAAGAAGGGGCTGGTGGGCAGAGGAGAATTACAGCAGGACCCAGAGGAGGAAAGGGATGGGTCACAGCACTCTCCCCATGCTTCTGTGCTGATGACTGCTGGGGCTATTTCTTAAGAGCTGGTTTGTCTCCTGCACTGAGCACAGCGCTCCTACAATTCAGTACAGGGACACCTTGACCCAGGACAGCCGAGAGCAGAGAAGAATAGAGAGAAGTGAAAGAAAACAGTTCTGGAGAGGGGAAAAAAGCACATATAGCACCAAGCACAAAGCTTTACGTGCACAATGGGTTGCTTCATCTGTAGCAGTTCTGTTATACAATGCAAGAGCTGCCATAATGCAGTGCAGGGAGAGTCAATATGAACTGGAGAGAAACTTAACAAGAGAGATTGCTCCCCAAGACACAGCCTTGTCACAGCTGATGCAAACAGAGGCTCTTTGTTAGCATATTTACCTTGCTCCACAATCATTTACTTGCTGCATAAATAGAACTGTTCATTTTCTTCTCCCAGCCAGCTCTTCTCCTCCGTGGGGATATCAGTGCAAATAGCTCAGGGTATCAGGCCAATGTAATATCCTTTCCCAACAAGGCTGCTGGTAATTGCAGGAAGAAAAGGAGAAGACAAAAAAAAAATCAGTTGTAATAACTGCTGAAAAGTTGCAATTAAAGCAAAGAAAATATGCAGAAGGAATAATACAGTACTAAGAAAATAAAGTAACTAAAAATAGGAACTTCCTTGATATTAGCTTATCTGTAGCTGTAGTAGGAGCAGTGCCCTGCTGCTATTTCTGTAACCTACAGGAGCTACACCAAGAACAAGAGCAGCACTCAGCACACAGCCATTGCTTTCCCTTTTCAATACTGCTCCATTGCTGAGCAATTTACCTCCAAACCAAGCAGCACAGCAGCTAGTTGAATTTTTCTGATTAATCTCCTTCTGAAAGAAGAAATATCTCAGGGTCAATAAATTCACAAGAGTTCTCCGCGTTCATCTGAAAATATCTGTTGTTCGATAAAAACCTGAATATCAACAGGATTTATCAGTTTCCAAATGCTACCAGCACTAAACCTTTTGGCTTACCTCCACTTCAAAGCATCCACAGGGGAACTTGTCACCCCCTCAGTCTGCAAGGAGCAAGGAGGGAGCAGCTGCTGGCATTTTATGGGGCAAAAGCAATCAGGAGCTTCCCCTGGTGAAGGCCTTCATTTACTACCACCTGTCTCTGGATTTACCCTCTCAAATCCTGGTAAATACAGCAAGTCTGAGTACTTTCTAGGGTCTCCTACCCTGAAAACATTTTCTGGGGGCTTATCATTAACTTCACCACAAACACCACAGGTTACAGAGCAGAGGTCCCGTACACAGGGACGTTCAAAAGTGTCACCTTGAGTAGCATGCACACACGCTACCTCTCCATTGCCAAGCACCCCTTTGGGTCTGTGCTTCTGTCAGAGGCAAAAATCCCCTTTAATCATGAGAAATGTTAAAGTGAGAGAAAGAAGAACAGTATCTGCTGTTCATCCATCCCCTAGTGAGACAGAGACTCAAAAATTTCCTGATTCAAACTCTCTTGAAAGATGGCAGCTGGTGAATCGTAACCTGCTGCTGGTAAAACACAATCATTTTCAATAATTAATACACAAGATGCCTTTAAGAAAAGCAGAGGTCTCGTGGAGTGGAAGGTGCAATTATGGTTTCATTAAAGATTGATTGCGTGTGTGGCCATTCATTTGAATAATGGCTCTGCTGACACCTTAAATGGAATGATAAATGAGGGTTGGTGTACTGCTGTGACTCGATACACAACTTGGCTCATGGCTGCTGGTGAGGAACAGCAGCATCTCTCCAGCCCCAAAGGTCACCTGAAATATTAAAGAGCTGAAGATCAAGTAACAATGAATAAGGTTGAACAGAATGTTACGGTGACAGGAGTGGAATTAATTGGGTGATAATTGTCCTACATTTTGGCCTTTATTTTTAGTTTATTTTTCTTATGAAAAGAACCCAAAGGCACGGCCCCGCTTGGCAGCGAAAAGCAGTGAGCTCGCCACCAGCTGCAGCAGAACGGTTTCTCTGCTCAGGGGGAAAGCAAGGTGCCCCCGGGTGAGTGGCAGGGGCCATCTGGGAGAGGGGCTTCCTAAATCCCAGCACTGGGCTTGCTGGGATGCTCATCATTCCCATCCCAACCCTAAAAGAAGCCAGGAGAGCAATGCTCGCTGAGAGCACCCCTATTGTCACCCATAGTGTTTGTGCTTGAGATAAAAGTGTGGTTTCCATGAAGTTTTTCTCCAGCTGCTTGGCTGGGGAGAGCAGAGGGGGTGGGAGCGTTCCCCTCTTCTCCTTGGCAGAGCAGGGGCAGACCGAGGCCACCGTCCCTCTGCAGGCAGCGATGCTTGCAGGGCAGGAGTTACAGGAAGAGCAAACACATGTTGGAAGCAAATGCCTTAATTATATTCATGATCGGTTTTGCCCTAGTCTGCAGCACTGAGGAGACCCCCTTCTATCAAAGTCAATTAAATGGATGCTATTCTACTAAAACCTAGCAATAAAACAAGGGCTGTACATATCCATTAAACTGCAGTACATATCCATTAAACTTGCTTTTGCTGCTGCAGTTCATTTACTGCCAGGTTTTGGACTTGATTCTGATCTCATTTACGTGGGTTTTACCCTGGTGTAATAGCAGAGACTTCTCAAAGTCAGTCCGGCTGATTTACTCCAGCCTGGTAGAGATATTGACACAGTTACAAAGGGATGAGGCAGATACTTTCATTTCAAAGACCTGCAAATAATCTTTGAGCATCAATAAACCCCAGAGATTAATGGTCTGCTAAGCAGCCAGGTTGCCCTACACACACTCACACACACACACACATCTAAATGCAACTCCTAAAACAAATTTATCCTGGAGACAAGAAAGCTTTCTCCGTGACCATCCCAGCAGGATCTGTGCCAACAATGTCCCCTGACTTCATGTCCCTTCTGTCCCCTCGGGCCCTGGGGACAAAAGCAGGGGGCTGCCCTGATGCTGGGTGGGCTCTGAGGGCCCAGCCAACCCAAAGCAGGCCGTGATTCCATGGTTCTAACCTTTTTTTTTTTTCTCTTTTATATGAAAAGTGGCTGAATGCCTGCTTGTGTCACGGGGTGTAATGCCCTTATGGCCAGGACTGACTTTCTGTTTTAACAGGCACCAAGAGCATCCTTGGATTTTAAACCCTGCTGTCATTTTCTATAAATTTATCTTTTATATTCATGCTGGTCCTTTTAAAATAAACCTTCAGAGAAGCATCTTCATCTCCTTCCCTTAAATCTCCGTCCACCCCTGGCCTCTCATGGTGCCCCTGCACAGGGATGATGTGCTCCTGTCTTATCCCCAGGACCCCTCGCACTGACAGCACTGGGGGGGCACCTGCACCTCCGCCAGGCATAGCACTCTGCATCCAGAATAAAGCAGTGTGATCGGGGTGAAATTTAACATTTCATGGCTGCTTTTTGTATTTCAAAGAGCTTGAAGGAAATCTGCTCATGCAGTGCAGCCCAGAAGCTGAAGACGTGGTGGTGAAGTTATCAGCACTTTAAAGACGCCTTTGCTTTCTTGAGGTTTCCTTAAGAAGTCTCACGGTCATTTTCTTACAGGGGGCTGAAGTTAACAGGGAAGTGGCAGCACGTGTGGAAAAGGGAAAGGAGAAATCCGTGTTTGCCTGTAGGCAGAGCAGCAGGGAGGTCAGGCAGGCAGGGTGGCTCCTTCGCAGACATCCACTCAGGTTAAAAGCTTGAGTCCCGGTGACTTTTGCACAAAGTCAGGAAGATGCCTTTGAAAATACGAGGCAGGCATCCCAGAGCATCAGCAGCTCTGTCCCCATCTGCCTTTAGCCTCTGTGGTTCTCACTGCCCTGCTCTGAGCCGCCGGAGATGCACAAAGGACATGCACAAGGGGAGACAGAAAACCAAGGACGTCCTGGTTTGGGATGATGTGCTGGGTGCGCCTTTGGGGTGACCCCCACTTATGGCTTTTATCTTGCCTTAAAAGCAGCTGCAAGCACAAAGCTATAAAGCTTCATGGCAATAAGCAGGGATGTAATGAACTTGACAAAAAAAAAAAAAAAAAAGAGAAAGGAAAAGGTCACCACGTCCTTGTCTATTAACGTGGCCCTGCAGAAAGACCCAGTGACTAATTAAAACTGTGGGCTTCGCAGCCAGGAATACTAATCTTTATATCTGCACCGGCCTTAATTATCTGCCTCTGCGTGCTTCTTCATGAAGTGGGAAAACAACCCATATTCAATCTAATTGGCTTAATTTTTATAACTGTGTTCCCCCCTGAGATCCATTTCTAAAACAATTTGGACCATTCTTTCAATACCCTTTCCTTATCTCCTTATGATCGTCTCATTCACTCTAATTTGGAAAGAGGCCCATGAAAGACAGAAAGAAAAAAAAAAAAAAAAAAAAAAAAGCCTTTTTTGCTTTACAGAGTGCCCAATGTGAATTTTCTGACAGCAAAACTTTGAGTTACTTCGGGCTCTGTTAAAGACAAAAGGAAAATAAAGAAGGTGAGAGCTCTGAGATTTATGGCATCCAATGAAGGCTCTGCACATCGTGATTTACACAGCCACAGCAGCGGGTTGAGTCTGGAGAGAAAAATGTGCGGGACTCTATGATTTATGAACACCCACCTGGCATTTTCAGAACTCTCAGGCAGCAAACTATCAGGTCAATAATTCTATAAGCGATCAGCACTGGGCACTAGGTCAGCCACCAGACCCATTACAAACACCTTTGTGCCCATTTATTTGCTTGTTTAAACCTCCTTAACACCAGTACTCAGTGAGGACATGCTCCAGGCCATCAGCATCTGGATGCTCCTGCAGGTTTTCAGGCATGGCTCAAATCCTGCTGTCGTGGCCAGCTGCACTGGGCCATCAGGTCAAGGCTTTATTTTGGCACTTTCACCTCTTGAGGTTGAAGTCTTCGTGGCCCCAGCCCTGGGATTCGCCAGGTGCCCCAGTGGGCATGAGGCAGGGATATAGATATGGATAAATAGCAGATAAACAGCAGAGGGAAAGAATAATTTGGTGTGCCAGGCATGGGAGCTGGGGAAGGTTCCCAGTGGTGGCAGGCAGTGGGGAGCTGATGAAGAGGAGCAGGGAGGAAGGCTGACTGATGATGGAGACAGGTGAGATGCTGAAGGACAGGGAGGGAGAAGAGCCTTTGGTGGCTGGTCCCCTCCGTTGTGGCTCTTGTGCAGCACTTGTTAGCACAAGTTTCCGGACTGTTAGCACACTAATGAAGTTTTTAGTAATGTGTTAACCTTTCCTCAGCCCTCCACTCTGGCAAATCACACCGCTTCTTTGGGTGGGTGGAAAGGGCTGCCCTGGGGCGATGCGGTGCTTCCAGCTGGTGCAGCCACACGTGCAGCAGAGGAAGGAGATTTGGCTCCAAAACCAAACCTGCCTGAACCCCCCTCGAGCTCCCCGCAGCTCCTGGCACCGCTCCCTCCGCAGGAGAATCTGCTTTGCTACTTGTGCTATTTTACGGCTGGCATTTATTTGTTGTTTGGCGGATTTGATTTTTCCATAAGCAGACATGGCTGCTTAGAAATTCAGCAGGGATAAGAGATGCCTTGTAGGTGCCAAAAAGGAAATATCAGCAGATGCTACGCACAGACTGAAGGTGCCACCGAGCTTCCTTTGGCTCCCGTGCTGCTCAGGAAGCACATCGCCTTCCCTCGCTCCCAAACTCTGTTTAGTGAATGAAACTCATTTTCTCGTACGATATTTCGCAGAGCTTCCACCACTTACTGGCCAAGGATGGGCACTAAGACAAAAAACTCTCTCCCTCCATCTCTGGGAAAAATAGCTTTGGGTAAAATTGATTCCTCCACTCCTCAAATTGTTTCACTTTAATGTCACACAGGTGGCTCCTCCAGCCTCGTCTGACACACCCTCAGTACAGGCACACCGAGCAGATGATTACATGTGATTTCCTCAATCCTGGCGTTGCTGCACCAATCCTGGTTTGGAGACATCTGCTGCAAAGGGCCGAGCTGCCACCTGAGCGCTGGCCATGCCACGGGACCGGGGAATGCAGCAGTGGCCCTGGCTTGGTGCCTCTCCTAAACTCCCCTAATTTCATTTTTCTTGCTGTGATTTATGACACGAGGAGAAAGGCGCTGCTCGAGCTATTTCTGAGGAAGGCACCGGGGGGTTGCCGGCAGCTTCGCACTTTGCACGGAGTGGAAAGAGAAAAGCAAAGCTGAAAGGGGAAAGCGGCTGCGGCAAACGGAGAGCTCCACGGAAAGCATGGGCATGG